TTTATGGAAAGTATCTTTAATAAAGCTGGATACAGTTTGGCTTGGAATGCTGCCTCTGATCTTTTTCCAACATTGGGGAACCTGGCCTCCAGCTCTCTTGTTTGATTGAATGGTCTTAGATCCAGTCAGTCTCCCAAACACAGTTGTGAGTGGAGGTGGGTGTGCATCCCAGAAGTAGATTGAGGAGAGTGGGAAATGGTTCTTGAAGTGTTTGGTGATCCTTACAGTGTGCGCAAAGATCAGCAAGTCAAAGCTTTGGTTACCAACAGCTGGGCACCCCTCTGATTAACATTAACAATCCGCTGACTGTCAATTGGGGCAATGCTCCTGTGTTTGACCATGTAGATCAATATGGTCTACCACTACTGACCTGCAACAATGTTAGTAGAGACTTTGGCTGGTTGAAAGGTATAGGAATACAGACCTGATGGATTTGTGGCTTCGATTTGAACTTGTTTCACAGAATTCATGTGGCTTATATTTGAGGGAAAACAACAGACATTGCCTCATTCTCTTCCTCTTGTCAAAAGATTAAGTTGACAGTTTAGCTCTTGAAGCTTTGGGATGGGTGTTCTGAGGCAGTGGGTGCTAAGTGTGTTGAACTTTCTGGATGAAGAAACTTAAGGTGAGAAACCATAGTTTAAATTTACCATACTGAATATAAACATACTGGTTGTTCCGCGCGTCCCCCCCCCCCCCAGACAGGGTTTCTCTGTGTATAGCTTTGCGCCTTTCCTGGATCTCACTGTGTAGCCCAGGCTGGCCTCGAACTCATAAAGATCCGCCTGCCTCTGCCTCCGCCTCCCGGAGTGCAGGGTTTAAAGGCGTGCAGTGTACCACCACCGCCCCGTCTAAACATACTGTTAATAAACATACTGGGCAATGAAATGATTTTTCAAACTATTTGTTAAGAATCTCAGACTTGTATTCAAAGGCCACTTTGTTTTGACTAGTGAGACGATTTTAGAGGGAATCTGAGCTGTCTGGTTGGTTACTGTTAGGGTGGAGTTTATAAAGTGACATCTCCATATGTCATAGCTGGCTGGGATTTCTCTGCTCTGGTCACCTGTTGCCAAATAGTTGGGGTAAGTATGTTGAGCTTGAGCTTTAAATTTTAATCCTATAGCTTGGCCTAGTGGACCACCTGTGTCTGCCCTGTGCTGAACTAAAGCCTGGATGTAGCCCTGTGCTACCTGGCTATACTTTTATACTATGGCCCAAGCACTTGGGAGGCTTAGTCAAGATCAGGAGTTCAAAGTCATTCTAAGCTACATGAGTTGAAGACCAGACTTGGCCACATGAAAACCATTTCAGTAGCAAAAAGTGGCCCCCTAGAGGGCTGGAGACATGGCTCAGTGGTGAAGAGCCCTTAGTGACTCAAAGGATGCAGATTTGGTTACCAGCACACACCACCTGCTAACACCTAACACTTAACTCCAATTCCAGAGAATCCAATATCCTCTCCTGGTCTCCACAGACACCAGGCACACACATGGTGCACAGACATAATATGCAAACAAGATGTGTTTTTTTAATAAAGGTGGATCTTTCCCAACTCAAAGCAACCAATCTCAGCCTTTAAAAAAAAATATTCTTAATTTCCTCCTTACCACCTGAGCTGTAGCCCTAGCCTCACTGTGAATCTTTTTAAATGCCTCTCTTCAAATCCTTTGCCCATGTTTGTTTGTTTTTACACTGGGCAGGTGAGAGCTTTGTATTCCGGACTTTAAATCCTTATATAATTTATGACTATCTCATTCTATGGATTGTTTTATTTTTACAGCATGTCTCACTGCAGTAGACCTCACTATGTAGCCCAGTCTGCCCTCAGTTTACAGCAATTCTGCCTGAGCCTGCCAAATGTGGGGTTATGACAGAAGCTGCCATATCTGTGGGGTGTGTTTGATGCTTAGAAACACATGTCCCCATTCAGCCCAATACGGTCTTGAACTCTGATTCTCAGATCCTGCCTCTACTTCCAGAGGGCATCCATCGAGTGCAGGGTTTTTGCACCATGCCCAGCTGATTTGTTATGAAATGAGGTCTCCTGTGCAGCCAGGCTGCTATCAAATTCTTGGTCCTTCTGCCTCAGCCTCCCTATAACTGGGTTACAGTGGTCAGCTACTGTGCCCAGCTGAGAGTGTCCTTGGAAAGCAAATTTTATTGCTGGGGATGTGATTCACACAGTGGTAGACTCTTGCCTACTACATTTAAGGTTCTGGTTCAGGCCCAGTACCACACATAAAAATTTTGTTTAAGCCAAGTGTAGATGTGAGCCTTTAATCCCAGCACTCTGGAGGCAGAGGCAGGCTGATCTCTCTGAGTTTGAGGACAGCCAGAGCTATATAGTTGAGACTCTGTCTCAAAACAAAACAAAAAAAAACTTGTTCTGGTGAAGATACGATTTATTTACCTTTGGTTGCTGTTTCCTTTAGAAAAGCTAAGAAACAATGGCCTCACTTAGGGTCAAGAAGGTTTACACTTGTGTATTCCAAAACATGGCCATTGTTGTCCTCTTCAACACAGTCCTTTGATGGGTTGTGTTGACAGTGTGTTGCATGGAGTCCAAGCATTCCCTCTCCTGTGAAATGGTTCTAGACCTTTTCCATGGCTGCCGGAGACACCTCATGACAACACCTTTGGAGTTTCTTAGCTCATGTGATTCTCCCTGTGTTGTTATCCAGTGACACACTTTGACCTTTGGCCTCATTTCCCCTGAGCTGGGGTTTTGAACCACCACTACCCAATGTCCTAAAACTTTTAAATTAATATTTAATTAAAAAATATTTTTAGCTGAATGGTGGTGGCACACACCTTTAATCCCAGTACTTGGGGGGCAGAAGAAGGTGGATCTCTGAGTTTAAGGCCAGCCTGGTCTACAGAGACAGGTTTTTTTCTGTGCAGCTTTGGCTGTCCTAGAACTTGCTTTGTAGACCAGGCTGGCCTCAAACTCACAGAGATCTGCCTGCCTTTGCCTCCTAAGTGCTGGAATTAAAGGTATGTGCCACCACCACCTAGCAGTGGCTTTTAATCTTAAGATGGAGTCAGGCTGGTTCATCATTTCTACCTTGTCTTATGTGTCTCTTTCAAATCCTTAATAGTGAACAGTTATTTTATTTATTTATTTTTGAGACAGGGGTTCTCTTTGTAGTTTTGGTGCCTGTCCTGGATCTTGCTCTGTAGACCAGGCTGGCCTCAAATTCACAGAGATCCACCTGGTTCTGCCTCCTGAGTGCTGGGATTAAAGGTGTGTGTCACCGCCGCCCGGCAGAGAACAGTTACTTTTATATGCTGTATGGGCCAATAATGCTGGGGGTGGGGCAAGTATCATAGTATTCTTTATTTGGAGAGAGACAATATTTGTATCGTGGTTGTCTCTCTAATTATGTCTGATTGGTTAGCATAAGAAGGATAATTTTTTTTTTTTTTTTTTGGTTTTTCAAGACAGGGTTTCTCTGCGTAGCTTTGCGCCTTTCCTGGAGCTCACTTGGTAGCCCAGGCTGGCCTCGAACTCACAGAGATCTGCCTGGCTCTGCCTCCCGAGTGCTGGGATTAAAGGCGTGCGCCACCACCGCCCGGCAAGAAGGATAATTTTTTAAAGCCATCATTTTTGTTCATGCAGGTGAATGCCCTATCATATTGTAGAACTAGTTTAGCTAATTACTTATTGATAGCTCTTGATCTATTTGGCTTTCAACAGGTACCTTTCTGTTAATGAGGGAGCTGGTTATATGTATAGTCACTTTACCCCCTTTACCAGGGATTTTCCTTTGGATCTACCACTCCAGCCTTGGTTAAGAATTTGTTAAGTACTCTCCTCTGTAACTACTTCCTGTTGAAATTGTCAGGGTCCATGGAAGCAAGCTAGAATGCTAGTCAAAGGCTGGGAGGGGATTCAGACAATCGGGTATTCATCAGAAGCATCTAGTTAGCTCAAGAGACAGGGAGCAATCATGTGGGCTAGAATGGTTTGTATCTGCTTTCATCAAGTCCAAGACTTGTAGCTGTTTGGAGCAGTTTGTAGTCCACAGCTGATTCCTTGATTGTGTGTACCAGCCAAGTGGAAATTGCAGACACAGATGTAGACTAGGGACAGAAATTAAAGTTAAGGAAGTTAAAAGAAAAATATTACATTTTCTTTTAAGCTTCCAGGCCCATAGTCCTGGTAGGTGGGGGAGGAGAGGAGTACCAAGACCAGGGGAGAGAGAGAAATCCTAACCTCAGGAATAGGCAAGTGGGGAAACTTACACTCTGCT